ATCGCCGAACAAGTAGTCAAGCGTAAGTTTCCTTTGAATATACATTAACAAGATAAATTTATGTAAAAAAATAAACTAATCGATATAGCCTTAAGCGGACGGTGGAGTATTCCGCAGTTCGACTCACTAACGAAAGCGAGTCACGCATGTCAACAGACAATATCCTACACGGGAAAGATAAATCCCATCACCAGTATCCAAGTGTTAGGAAATTGAAGGAATTGGTGAATTTATCTAACCACAAACTCAAGGAGGCTGGTAGATATGAAGATCAAGATCATGTAACTTATAAATGGTCGCAATCTCCTTTAACTTTATAGTGTCGATTCGATCTCGGTTTCTCAACTTGAATAGTCTCGGGGAGACTTTATGGAACGTATCTGGTCCTGCGTCCTCTGCAATAGTATTCGTAATTTCCAGCATCGGAGCATTGATTTGGCACATTACTATAAGTTTCGCAGTCATGGATTGTAAAATGTGTCATCGTTAGCATATAGCTATAACTTATCAGTGACAAAGGAAGGGAATCTCCTTGATAATTTGCTGTTCAACCGTTGTGTCATAAAACCTCATTCCTTTTTTTTTCTACTCTTATGCTGCAACCCTGCTTCATAGGGTCCATCTACCTATTAACACAGAAGTGTTCTTCCACTAAACCTACTTGTAGCGATACATTCTTAAGCGACATTGGCGGAAACGAGAGCACATAATTGTGTGAATGGGAAGATGGGTCATTTAAGTGGGGTTGGGAGAAAGAGATGGGGCGCTAGAAAGAAAACAAAAGTATGGCATCAAAATGCCTTACATAATACTGTCGAGTTAATTAAAATAATCGATTAGGTTGTCCTCAATAAGAAAGCTGTGAATTGCGAAAGAAATTGCAAGTCATATGACTTCAATAATTTGATGGTCTTCTGTATTAGCAGAAAGAAACGTGTTGCAAAAATGGGTCCCAACGCCTTCTAAAATTGAGAAGTTAAATATAAGCATCATCTCATACGCAAAGTTGAGTGAAATTTAACGACACAGCGAAGCTCAACTATCAGACGGTGGGCCATAAACAGAATTTAAGTTGAAAAATTTTTTTTGAATAAATCTATGCTTTTTCATGTGAATTTTCCTAAAGTTTCATGGGTATAGTGATAGAAAATAGGATCGAATTCCTCATAATTGTGCATACAAATTAGAATTGAATGAATGATGGCAAATAACAGCCAAACAGGAAGAATTTGAATAGCAGCATGGCAAATAAATCGAAAATTATATTTAACAGCAATCGCTACCTTCTGTACAGCTATGGCTGCTTCTTCAGCTGGGCTGACATGACCAAGTATGGATTTTTGCCGTTTAGTCAGTTGTTGTTGTTGTTGTACCTGCAGGAGCTGCTCCAGAGGAACAGGGGAACCGCCAACACCCTCGTGATCATCGATAAGACCTAGGAGACCTGATAACAGAGCAGGAAGATGACCTGCAAGGCGCTTTGTAGCGGCTGGATGCGTCGTCAGACTGGCAATGGCTAAGCAACAAGCATCGCGAAGACGGATATTTATGGTCCCAGTTCCAGAGAATACATTTGTTAACGTATTTCCTGAGCTCTGGTTAGTAGCACTAGCCGGACTTGCTAAGACAGTTGTTGAATGTGTCGGAGTGACCGCACCAGCAGTCACCGAGGCAGGTGAAGTAGTGCCCCCGATCGAAGAAATTGATGAGGGCGAGGATTGTGTGGAGGCGAGCGTTGGGGTATTAAAACCAAGCTGAGTTTTTATCTCACATATGATAGCGTTGAAGTGGGCCTCAATCTGAAGACATCAGATAAAAGATTACTTGACAGTAGAATATTTATAACAGCAGATCAATGTCGTTGAGTGGCAAGCAACGCAAAACCTTAGAAAAATATCAAAGTACCTTTCGCGGTAAATACCCATTTTAGGCATGTAGTTATCATAAAAAATGAGTGGAATGGAGATATCACCATAGCAATAGTGCAAAAATGAGCATATTCTGGTAAAAAAGATTAAAAATAAGCATAAGTGACCACAGGAGCGAATATACACTGTAAAAAATGTAAAAGTACTTCCACTACCTTCACAGCACACAAAAGAAGATAATTAAAAAGCAATCACGTATAGAATCTTTTTAGCAAAATATATTTCCTTAATCATCTTAATGAAATTGGTTTCAAAGGAAACAATTACTTTAGAAAGAGGCCATATTCTAGCTAGCAGATTTATGCAAAACTGAATAAATAATGTGAACAGCAAGTTGCACAAGTATCAAAAAGAGGACTCCTGAATAGCATATAATGAAAATATTCTCTGGAATATAAAAGCAAAAATTATAGCCATATTTAGTAAGATAGCAGATAGAATAAACAGAAATCATTAATCATTAATACTTATGCAAGGGTATCCTATTCCTATTCAATATTATGACGCAACAGTAGATGAGCTTGCTGAATTAAAGCAGGAATAATGATTATAAATATGATAAGGTAATAGAATACTGCGACCATATCGGTAGCCACATCATCATGGTCTTCATATCTTCGATTAAACTACGGTAGTAAAATTGCCAGACAAAGCACTAAATACATTCGGACAAAGGAGACAAGGTAATCTTACCATCTGACCTTTTAAAACTGCTGTAAATATTATGGTAACACTTCAAAGTTCTGTGACCTTAAGAGACCCAACTAGTTGTATAAGGTTAATGTGTATCTCCACCAGGCTTCTGTTCAGAAACTAAGTGATATTATGATACGGAGAAGAATAAGCCATTTAAAGTTTAAGATATTAAGCCAAAGCTCTGGCGTGATTTGGCCAGGATGTAGACTCCGAAAGACTTTCAAAAACTCCAGATCATGACAGACAGGAAATCACGTAAAATCTTTGACTTATTAACAAAACGACATGACGATAAATTGAGTAAGTTTTTAGATTATAATACAGCATAAGTTTAAGGCAGTACGCTGGGTTGAAGTGGTTTATGAGATGACAACACCTACTGATCAACACGATGATTGGAATAAAGCATAAAATTTGTCATCAATTCCTCTCAATCCCGAAGCAATCGCGTTCCTGGAAAAAGGACTCAACTTTTTAATTCAAAATGAAAAAAGCCTTCTAAGAGATATCCTGGTGGAGGTTATCAATATCTCTTACAAGTTTTCTGAGGATAAAAAACGGGAAATGGAAATGGAACTAATTCCAAAAATCTGGGAAATATCAAGAGCAAACACACAGGAACAGATTTGTCGTTATACGCAAAACCCTGGAAACGAATGAACAATTATTCCTTCAGGCGGACAAAGGAGGAGCTAGTGATAATGAACAAAAAACAGTATGCCGAGCAGATGGAACATTTTCTACGAGACAGGACCACATATCGTATATTAAACAAGGACCCAACTATTAAGATTAATGGAATCTAAAGTGCCATGCTGAAAGATATGCATGAATGAGGAAATTGAGACATGAACAAGAAGTTCAATAATAAGAAAGAATGCACGACCACCAACAGCGTAGGGATCACCGAAAATACACAAAGAAGGAGAGCCCCTAAGGCTGATAGTCAACAACAAATATGGAGCAACACACAATTAGCAGTGTATATGTTTGAAACTAAATGAGAGGCTATCAAGCACGGTGAAACATTCATATACAAAAAAATAAAAAAACATGGCACTGAAATAAACAGGCTAATTAATAAGTTTTGATGTAGAATTTATGTATACAAATATCGAGCGAGGCCGTTAGCGCATATGCGCTAACGGCCTCGCTCGAAATTCTGGACCAAGAAGAGGATATTCTGGAATCACAACGGATCAGTAGGTAGTCGTTAACACGATTAATCAACTTCACAATGACAACCTATTTTACATTCAAAGCGACCATCTATGAACAAATATTTGGACTTCCCATGGGATCACCGCTCTCATCACCTTTGGCAAGCGTATACATGAACAAGATAAGAGAACTTCAAGATGTCACCGCTACAACCAGCAGTGTCATGCAGTACCTAGATGATTACTTCGCACTTTGATCACATGGAAGACAAAAACTATAAGATTTTCTGCAGTTTATAAACCAGATTAATAAAAAAATTAAATTTCAGTACCATCACAATTGCAGCATAAAGATAGGAATAATGATGGGCATGATCATCCGAAGCCTACGTTTGACGAATGTGGAATTATGGGACGAGGAGTTGGACAAATTGACTAAGATATGCCTTGGCAACGGCTACCCAGGCGAAGTAATACAAAGAAGAATGGCAAAAATGTACTAGAAATCCGCTTAAGATGGCGCAATCGACCAGAGATAGGCGTCCACAGTTTGCAGACAACCCGTAAAGGCAATGCCTGATATTTGCAAGCATGTGAATCAGAGTCTAGGCGATCTGCTCGGTGAGGCGGCAATGTATATGCTTCTATGGCCTTGAAAAATAAGGCCTGGAGTAAAACGCAACCTTAGACTGGAACTAGGTGAAACCGGACAATCAAAAAGATAAGTAACAGATCTATGGGACCATGATAGATATCCGGATAGGAGGCTCGAGTCGGATTAGCCGATCGAAAGAGAGTGGGTCGGGGTGAATAGCAGGTGTGATGAGGCCACATAAGATTTGCCACAAAAGAGCACACGAGTGGAATTTAAACAAATGATAAGTTGTAATAGGGTGGGAGTGGAAGAAGAGGGTAAAGAGTAGATAAATAAGCCAGGACAGAAAGAGGAGTGAGATTGTAACCGTTTTCGGCAGAACCTTTGTCGAGGGATTGACTTTATTGTCTCTGACGAGTTCGTATCTTGGTGCGGAGAATGGCAAGACTCACTGATGATGCCGACTAGGGTGCAGGCGAAACATCTGAGAATGTACAAAGTACACTGTCTGATGCTGGGAATTATGATAACTACTATGGTAGATGACTTCGGACAAGGTGTGTTCTATTAAGTTGCCCTAACAACAAGTCAAAGTTGCGACAACGAGGTCAGCCCATTTGTATAATTCGAAAGGAAACTAGGATCATACCGGCGGCCACACCATCTTAGTCTTCATATCTTCGAATAAAATACAGTCCACAATAAAGAAAAATATTAACTGAAAATTAGAAACATGAAAAAAGCAAGAAGTATCTAACCAATTCAGAAGAGAGTGTGTTAACAGAGGTTGGAGACGTTTTGTCAGAAGTAGATCCCATCAAGGAAGAAGCGGCAGCCACAGCAACAGCCGTTGAAGGGGGAGATGAGACAGTTGACGATGTAGTAGCGAACAACACAAGACCCAGCCAAACCCTATACGAAAGACGAGATTAAACAAAGAAATAAAGAAAAAAAAATGCAAATTTGATTCCCTGAGTGAAGAGCCAAATAAATATCCAGTACACAATTAAATGAGTCAAAAAATCAAGCTTAAAACTATAATGTCCTCTTTACTAATAAGTGCAAAAAAGCACAACCACCTTAGAAATTACAGATAAAAAATTAGAATATACATGTCATATTTAAATATTGTTTCCTGGCTAAAATAAATAATAATCTCAAATATGACTCAATAATAGGAAAGATCTGAAATCTTATTCCCACTATGCTCTTCAGTGAAGCATAATAAATTATCGCAGTGACTTTCATTTCAGACGAAAGTATATGATTAGGAGATCTAAAGTTGGTTTTGATCAGAAGATTGTGCCGAATATATGATGGCCACATTGCATTTGGGATTAGTTCGTGATTAGGTTGAAGAATGAAGACTATGAGGAGACCTTACGAGGCATTTAAAAAATAGTTATATAATAAAATCTGTTTCAAAGAATCAGATTATATAATACAGGCCGAAACTGAAATCCAACCTGAATACAAATATCTTTCAGCAAGCAAAGCTAGGCGAAATTCAGTGGCATTGTGAGGCATACTCATATCATTATGGGAAAACTAAACTATAGGTCCCTCATCCCCTAATGTGGCTAGGGGTAAATATAGCTCATATTTAA